GTCCAACAGTATCACGTCACACTCACAATTTTAAAAAAAAAAAAAAAAAAAAAAAAAAAAAAAAAAAAAAAAAAAAAAAAAAAAAAAAAAAAAAAAAAAAAAAAAAAAAAAAAAAAAAAAAAAAAAAAAAAAAAAAAAAAAAAAAAAAAAAAAAAAAAAAAAAAAAAAAAAAAAAAAAAAAAAAAAAAAAAAAAAAAAAAAAAAAAAAAAAAAAAAAAAAAAAAAAAAAAAAAAAAAAAAAAAAAAAAAAAAAAAAAAAAAAAAAAAAAAAAAAAAAAAAAAAAAAAAAAAAAAAAAAAAAAAAAAAAAAAAAAAAAAAAAAAAAAAAAAAAAAAAAAAAAAAAAAAAAAAAAAAAAAAAAAAAAAAAAAAAAAAAAAAAAAAAAAAAAAAAAAAAAAAAAAAAAAAAAAAAAAAAAAAAAACATTAAAAATCATAACTATCCATGCTCGGGCGTCATCCTCACCCTAGAGAATAATTTAGTTACTCATGTTCAAAGAAAACATAATTGAAAAACTAGAAAACATAAAATAAAACTTATGGATTGTGACGATGCTTGAGAACTTGACAATGGCAGCGACTCTTTGACTCTCCTTCAAATTCCAGCATAAGAGAACCCTATTTTCTGGTCTTCTTTAAATAAGGAACAAATCCTCTTTTGACTTGGTAACTATCCTTTCCTAGTTTGGCTTCAATTGTCTTTGATGAGTTGGCATCCAAAATCCTACTAAATATGGATCAGACTTCAGAAAATAACTCCACATCCTTGTAGACACTTCCCAAATGTAATTGACACAAATTAAACTCCAAGGATTGGACTTCAAATGGATTATTTTGCAAAACCCGCAGAACACATTCTGCCCGAACTGTCTGTACTAAAACAGCCACAACTCTCTCCACACATGTACAAATCACGAACCGTAAAATTCTACAGAAAGCTAACATCCGTATCTTTCCAACAATATAAGGCTCAACATCTGGTTCGCTCTGAGAAAGTACAGTATATTCTGTCAAGTTGACTGTTCTGCACAGCACATTCTGCTCCTAGGATTTCACATCATATTTCAATCCCAAAATTTCTCCTTTTGCTTGCTTTTCCATATTTACTCTTCAAACCTAGTAAAACACAAAACTAAGTAAAAATGGACTAAACTCACTCAAGAACATAGCAAGAATCTAAGAGAAAGATAATAAAAATGTATGAAATAATGGTTATATCATGGAACCATGATTATACCCATAGACACATGTCAAGTGTTGAGAAGTGTAGTGATGATACACCTTTAAAGAAAAGGGACAAAGACTTACAGTGTGAAAACCCCAAACCGTTGTTACTTAGAAATGTTTTTCCTTGTGAGTGGGTAAGAAAAAATGAAACAATAATTAATTGTCCAATGCCATGGTGACATTAAAGAAAAGGAACACGCTTTCAAAGACTTCAATGCTCAACTACTGAACCCCAAAACAAGAGAGAGAGAGAGAGAGAGAGATAGATAGATAGATGTGGATAAAGAGAGAGATACCTCTGTAATGCTCAACCACTCCAAAACAAAACTCACAAAAACCACAACCAAAGGGAACCCTACGGCTAAACATTGACATTTGATACCTCTGTAATGTGTCTATGAAATTGATCAAAATGAAAACTTGAGCAGACAATAACTTCTTCTGTGACAATTCCTACTAGTTTCAACAAAGGTTTAAGAAAAAACTTGTGTACAAAATACATGATATTTACTGTCACATACTGAACAAGCTCTTATCAAAACTTGTCAAGTTAAGTGAAAAGATCAGTCACAATAAAATGAGTTAATTTTGACTGCAGAGCTCATACTAATGGCAAGCTGACGTGCAAAAGACTACATACATGAATAGCATCACTGAGCAAATATCATTCAGACTTCTGAGTGTGAATAAAACAAACAAACAAAAACAACTGAAAAAACAGAAACCAAAGAATTCTATAACCATAATAGGAAACACAGTGGACCCATAATGTCAAAATCTAAAAGCATTTAATCACTTTATATGAAAAAATAATCAATCAGTGACTATCATCTGAATAAGAAGAAAGTGAAGCCATTAAGGTTTTCATTTTCCTCTTTTGGGTAACAGTTTTTGCACACGGATCACGCATAATTGATAAAAGTGACCTGAGTTTCTTCAAGTTCGTTCTTAGAAAGCTGCATGTCTCCAGTAAGTTCTCTCACAGTCATATTCAATAGAGATACGCGATGACTAAAGTTTATGTAACTTCTGCAGCTAATGCCTGAAAAATAAATGATAATAAGTAACAAGCCACTATTTCAATGCCTCCTTCCCCCAACCCCCTCCACTCAGAAAATAAAAATAGGAAAAAGTTATATATATAGGGTGGATACCTTCATTGGCGCAAAATAAACTATCTATAATTCATCTTTATGCAAGTAACCGCCTTTGAAGTGCTGTCCAATCTGCCACAGAAAATGCCGACTCACTATCTAAATCTCAGAATGGATGATATATTGAATATTTTCAAAAACTAAATAGTGCAGCCAAAAGCCTAGTTTCCTTGCTTTATTTTGCAAGCTGATATCTTTAACACACTAAACCCTCCCAGAAAAATATATACAATACCAGCTCATATAACATTACAGCCGTTCCCGTGCCATTTTAACTATGCAATTAACCCAGATTAACTCTTACACAATACAAAAACAAATGTGTGAATTTGAGATCAAGCCAAAGTAGTAAGAGAAAAAGTATGATTACCAAAAATGAGAATAGAGACCCAGGAATAGCCAATCATTTGCATACCTCATGTAGAATAGAAATCACAGCTATGTTGGTTTTGCCAGCTCCTGTTGGAGCACAAACATGCAAGTATCATATCAGCACTTTCACTGCAATGGTTTGGTATTCACATAATCAACAGAATCAATAACTTACTAGTATATTTTCATTAGTGTAATAAAGAGTACGGAATATGCGGCTCTGAATACGGTTCAGAGACTTATATCCACGAAAAGCAGCCTGAGCGAATTCATGTGACTTCGTTATCTCAATATGACAGCATAAGACAGTAAACAGAAATAGAGGTCAGTAGGAGATAAAAGAAATAGCAAGCAAGGACAATCCTATTTGTTTAACCACCAGAAAATGTGCAAATTATTATGGCGAGTTTGTCAGAGAACTCCAATTGCATCACAAATTCCATAATGTTAATATATATTCATACAATTATCATACACACACCATATACATGTCACCTTCGCTCCTTCGCACCAGCAAGCTTCGTCTGTCTTCATTTGGAAAAACAAGGACATGACCCGCCCTGGCGCCCAGACCCGCCCAGGCCGCCTAGGTGCCGCCTAGATCCGCCCAGGTTGCCTAGGCGCCGCCCAGGCCGCCTAGGTGCCTCCTAGATCCTCCCAGGCTGCCTAGATTTGCCCAGGCCGCCTAGGCGCCGCCTAGATCCTCCCAAGCCGCCTAGGCCCCCCCCTAACTCCCTGGTGTCGGTGTCCTCCCCCCTAGCGCCTAGGCCGATATCTCGAACACTGCTCAAAACCTGGAACGGGCTTGCTCTGTGCCCTAGACGTTCGATATGATGAGTTCGAGTCCGATTCGTCAGAATATTTTTAAAAACCGAGTCTAGCCGAACGGCTATACTAATTTTTTTTTCAAATTAAGAAAATACCGAGTAAAGCCGCCGGGCAATACTGGTTTTTAAAAAATTAGGTTAAAATTGGTATAGCCGGGCGGCTATACTATTTTCAAAAAAATATGAACCACCATTCTAACCTTTCTAAGAGAATGGATTCATCTTCATAGGAATCTTTGGATCTACCATATGAACCACCTTTGGCTACAGTTTTTTCTCTTATTGTTCCTTTTTGTGTAAAATTTGAATTTTATAACTATTGTGCACAAATTATAATAATTTGAAATTTTTTTGATAATCACATCAACATGTCATGTGGATATGTACACAAGCAATAAAATAACTTCTCAAGCGGGTCAGCGAATTACTGAAGTATTTTCATGATCACAAATTTATTGATTCAATTTAGCACTTCGGACATAAATTTGTTTTTGTAAGGCTCCGTTAACATAATATTTTAAACGTATAGCCGCACGGCTATACCCTTGAAACATCGTAATCTGAATTTCTCTTTTTTAATTACTTTATTTTGTAGTTATGTTTTAATTATTATTTACTTAGTGAATAATTAGTATTTAAGTATTTTATTAAAGAAAAAAATTAAAAAAACCAATTACTATTTGTTAAGTAATATATTTATGAAGTTAATTAAAATATTTAATACTAATTATTCACAAAATAAATAATGACTAAAACATAATTACTAATGAAAGTAATTAAATAAGGCTAAGATTTTATTTAATTACAAAAAGAAAATTTAAAATTAAAATGTACTGACCTGTAGATACTAAGATTTTTTGTAGGGTTAGAAACTTCAGTGGTAGCATTGAGTCTGGTCGTTTTTTCAATGGTCATGTAGGAAGGAAGCCAGCTAACTCTTTTATTGTTGTTCATTTGATTTTCTTGCAACTTTTCATTTTTAACATTTTCTTGCAAGTACATAATGATTACAAATGTTATTTTTAGAATAGGGGATCTACTAGAAAACAAAACCTATCAAAAGGAATGCAACCACATGATGAAGGAAACGAAAAGGTAGAAACTCTAGACTCACTGCGGATAGTTGATTGTCATTTTTCTCAAGTGCAGATGCAACTCTGGAGAAATACTTTTGTGTCAAGTAGGGTGAAAAGGGAGTACCCTTTCCAAGACCTTGAAGAGATTCATTTGTCCACTCCACCACTGCAACACAACAATGAATCACCACCAACAACAGAACAAAAGGCAAACCACAATAATTAACACTTGTCTCCCTATAAATTGTGGCTTTAGCTTCCACTTCCACCACCAACAACTTCGAGAATCAAGCAGAGTTTAATGATTAAAAAAAACAAACAAACAAACAAACAAAAGTGAGGAGCAATGGATGCTAGTTTGTTCAGGGCTGTGGTTTTGATGAGCATGCTTGTGCTTGCAATAGCTCAAGCTGATATTAATCCCTTCGAAATGGCAACACTTTTGGTCAAATTGATGACGTCTCTAATCCTTCCAATACAAACCTTGTGGTTCCAAATGGTCATCTTATTCCTTGTGGTTTATGATGTGCGAGGAAATGCATGTTGAGCCCAATATGCCTTTGCATATGCATGATTAAATGCAAGTTAACTCCTTTGGATGTTGTGTATAATTTGTATGTTTTCCAAAGTAAATAGTATAGCCGAACGGCTATACGCCTTTTTTTTTCTTTTCTTTTTTTAAAAATAGTATAGCCACGCGACTTTACACAACTCTGTTTTTTTTTCCCCTTAATAAATTCAAGCCTTAATTCATGATTAGAAAGAAAATTCACCGACCCCGTAATAAAAGAGAGAAATTATTCAACAATTACAAATACACCGGGAAATTGTTAAATTTATGTTTTCCTAGCTGCAATACTAGTGCTTGTATTGTTTTTTGATATTCTTCTTTTATAGCATTCATAATGAAGCCAAATACTTCACCTCAGAACAGTAAAAAAAAAAATCAGCCTCTGTTCCAAACATTCAAAACTTATACATATCATATATGTTCCATACAATCAAAACAACACCATTTTTCCCTTCATCTCAAGTAAGAAATTTACTTTGTTATTGGAATTACAACCACAAAGATAAAATGTTGGTTCCCGCAACAACATCTATTTGCTTTTATATATAGCAGAAGGATGCTTACAAAATTAAGAGCATGAGCCATGCATATATATGACTTCTATTCTCATAACATTCCTATTTAACTTAGAGCATTAGCCATGCATAGATCATTCTGTATAAACGATCTGATATTCATTTGTGAACATCGTAATATTTCATTCTGTATAAAAGCATAGGCAACTTCGCATTCATGGTAAATTGGTAATTAAAATCTAATGAAAATTCCCAGTTGACTTTTGTAATATTCTTATTTTCTTTCAAGTCAAAGCCCTTTGATTGATTGAAGACTATGGTCCGATAGAGATAGACACCAACTACTAAATTAAGTATCACAACTTTACTTTTGAGTTAACACCAAAATAAGCTGCTAATTAAGGAATTTTATTTCAAAGGAAAGACAAATCTGCTAAAAGGAAAAAGAATATGACCCACATATTTCTCAATTGTTTGTAATCACTATTTTAATAAGATTTCCCCAATTATATTTCTATCGCTTTGTGGACCTTATTTCTTTTTATTTTTTATTATTTTGTTCTTTATAAATAAAAAAACTCCACAATTGTTCTTAGAGTTGATTATAGAGTTACATTAAAAACATCAGACCCCATGTTGATTACATGTATAGCAACAGACAAATGAGAAATAAAAGCTTCTTTCATGGTTTGCTAATTTGCCTGTTGTATTTTAAGTGAAAGAAGATCTCTTTCTTTCGAGAAACAGAGGCAGAAGCACAGTCTTGTTTAAAATGACGAATTTGTAGCTTTTCCGACGGTTTCCGTTCTTTAGTAACGTAATTTAGACCTTTCGTGACGACTTTTAGGTGTCTCATTTGTAAAAAGTCTTCTTCGACTGTAAAAGCCGTCGCTAACCGTTGCAAAAAGCTATTTTTGCGGTGAAATAAAAATCGTCGCTAAACATTTGAACGAAATAAAAATTCTGCCATCCCCTATTCGGATAATGATCTTATTCCTACAACTTAATTCTATGAAAATATTGTTAAACTTTTCACTCTAGTTCTTCTTTTTGACCTTTTACGAAATCTTAGGCAGATTGAAGTACTTTTCAATTGTGGCAACATAATCATCACGGATAGTATATCCGGATCAATAATCCTACACAACTAGAAGATAAAATACTGTCTTCCAGCTGATTGATGACCCGAAAGCATCAATAATCCAAGGGTGCACTCTAATACACTCCAACTATAACCAACCAAATTGGTGTCATCAAACCTCAAGGCTATATAAATCACAATGGTCCAGGCATAACAGCGCATCGTTCATCATCTGAATCGATTAAATCCTGTCAAGAACCTGGGCATGACAACAGAGAATTCTTTAATATTGATACAATAACAGTACATATGAAAACTAATTTAAAAGCCAAATCCCAATAAGATTGCATACTGCATCACTGCAGAAATCAACAACCAGAGGAGAACGCAATAAAACCATGTACTACGAAATATCTCCCATCAAAACCAGTTAGAATTTATTTTCAGGTTTGCATTCCATCAATTTCACAAAATAGTAAGATTTCAAAGCTTCCAACCAACATAAGCATGTAACCAGATCCTAACTCGCTTCGCAGAAAGTAGACCAGACCAAAAGCCAGGCCAAAATAAAATCAAAGAAGGAACATAAATTCAAGCCTTAACTCGCGATTAAAAATAAAATTCACCGACACCGCATTAAACAAGAGAATGATTGCACAATTAAGAGGGATGAATTTCAGGAACAGCAAGAAACAGAGTAGAGCCGGGTCTATGGAACTCACTTATCTTCATCCACACAAAGCACTAAGAACACATGAGCATCAGAGGGCACCAGAACACCAAATGAACAGAACCCCAAAAGCTATCAATAAGATATGAAGCACACCATAATCTAGAGATATCTATATCATTCAAAATACAACCCAACTGAATGGAGAAATCAATATGTGCTTGCAAAACAAGAGATGACAAACCCAGACAAATATTGATATGGAAGTCCTAAACAAAATGTCCATGCATGACATCCCATTTGCCCCATAAGAACCAACCAACCCCAGAAGGAAAATCCTAGGCTTAAACATCTGCACAAGTTTAAAACTTAAACAGATGCCAAATACAGGTCATCAGAACATAGTAAAATTTAGATTTTCCTAGAAGCAATACGAGTGCCTGTGTACAGCATTCATGCTGATACAGTGATGCCAAATACTTCGCTTCAGACTAGTCTCAAGGAAAGAGATCATTTTAGATGACAGGTACTTGTAAATCCAATAACATAATAAATGGATACCAATAATCAACCAACCAAACAAACAAACGGATACCAATCTTCAAACTAGCAGAGCTCAAAGGTCCCTCTGAAAACTATCCCAACTTCTTGGTTTCATTAAACACTTTGAAAATGGTGAATGAAATTGAGACTGGTGATCCAAAATTTAAAGGAGGTGTCTAGAATTAAATTCACGACATAGCTTAAATTGACAAAATTGACAGACGCCGAGAAAGATTACTATGTCTTCTTCTGCAATGTCAGTGGAATATATGAACAACATTCATTAACCTCCAATTCTAATTTTCAATTTTTAACTTCATTCAATTACAAAAAAGATTGACAATTCAATGAAAGTTTGAGCCAAACCCTATTAGCGTCTACACAACCGGAGCCGAGAAAACCTCACGCCCCAGAAATTGTTGAAAATTAGAGTTACAAAATATGACTATTAAGAATTACCTCAAAATTAACCATGATTTTTCAAACCCAGAACCGACGGAGCTCTTACTTTCCACCGTAAGGTACGACAGAGCCGTCGTTCTCATTCGTCTCAACTCTGAACCGGTTCTGTCACAACCCTTTCCAGGTTACAACACACCATACGTCGTCGTTTACCCTTCCACAGTTCATGAGATTAAAAGAATGGTAAAAGAGAGCAATTGGGTTTTCTTGTGGCCCAAAGATATATCTGTATCGGCTAACGAGCCCATTTCTTTTTAAAGTCAGGAAAAGAAATTTTTTTTTAAAAAATAGTTTCGCCGAGCGGCTTTACTCGGCTCTGGCTCTTTTATTTTATTTTATTTAACCACGGGTATTTTTAAAAAAAGAGATAGTATAGCCGCTCGGCTATACCCGTTTTAAAAAATGTTTTCTTAAAGAAATAGGCTATACTCCCTTTTTCCTAATTTTATAAAAAGTTTTTTCAAAATTCGATTTCATTACGACCGGCGGCACACCGTACACATCAGCGAGTAGCTTCGAGGATCTTAATCTGTCGCCGGAGGTGCTAAAGGGCTTGTATGTATAAATGGGGTTGCTCAGCCGGGTCAATCCCAATGTTAAAGCTCCTCAGGCGCTCTATATTTGAATAGAAATGATAGGGTGAATGATATACAATTTAGACTAGAGGATTGATGATGGTAAGTGCAGAAGATGGGGAAGTACATGGGGATAAATGCAGAGTGTGTTGTCCCAACGGAGAGGACGAGTTCTACGTCCATTCAATCTCGAGCAACAGTATCAGCACAAATTGTGATTGGAACCCCTGGTACAATTAAGAAATGGATGTCTATCAAGAAGTTGGGCGTTACTCGGCTCTCTCTCTCTCTCTCTCTCTCTCTCTCTCTCTCTCTTTTAAAAATAAATAATATAGCCGTGCGGCTATTCTCGATTTATTTCTAATTTTTTAAAGAAATAGTATAGCCGTACGGCTATAATCGGATTTTCCCAATATAATGATGTATAGACACCAAAAATTGCTAAATTATAAATTTAACTTTTGACGTGAGACCCAATTAATGAAGGAATTTTGTCCAAACAAAAGGCTTTTTTTTATTAGTATAAGTGATAGTCTAAACTACAAGGGAGGGTTTCTCACATACTCACAGTCAAAATGTCATGGGAGTTCGAACCTGAGACCTCTTGTTTGCAAGTCAAAACACTTTTCTACTAGGTTAGACCCCGTTGGCAAAATAAAAGCATAGAAAACTAACTTCACCAGGCACATAACTGTCCCAACAAAAGACTTAATCAAAAGGGACTCTACGCAATTGATCTTCAAAGAAAAAGGCTCCATTACAGTCAAGATCAACCAAATCAAAGCATACCTGCAATTGATCAAGAAAATAAACAATAATTCTGTCATTTCCGTACAATGAGAAACAATATATATTATGATACTACCAAACCGCCTAAATTACATCCACCAATTAACAATAATTTGACGCTCACCAGATAAATATTTCGGACTTATACAAATGAAATCAAAAGAGAGACCTTCAATTATGCTCAAAATGATAGTCCTGCACGTATGTTATGCTCAAAATAATATAGTCCTGTATGTATCGCTTCAATATATGCTGCATTACAGCTCATGTAATTAGCTACAATCATGCTTAGAACCATAGATGGCCACAGGGTCTCCTTATAAATTGTGGCTTTATAGCTTCCACTTCCTCCACCAACAAACTCCGGCAATCAAACAGAGTTCAATAAAATAAAATAAAAGTTGAAACAAAGAAAGAGGAGGTATGGATGCTAGTATCTTGAGGGCTGTGGTTTTGATGAGCATGCTTGTGCTTGCAATAGCTCAAGCTGATATTAATCCTTCCTATACCAATACGGTTTCAAATGGCAACACTCTTGGTCAAGTTGATGATGTCTCTGATCCTTCCAATACAAATCATGTGGTTCCAAATGGTCATCTTATTTCTTGTGGTTTAAAATGTGCGACAAAGTGCCTGATGAACCCAATATGCCTAGGCATGTGCATGATCAGATGCAAACATAGGCCTTTAGATGTTGTATATAATTGTACACATAACTGTGCCAACTCTATTGCCACCACAAGAACTTCCAATTTTGGTAATGTGCATATTTCCATATGGGATTATTGATCTGCCTCTCTCTCTCTCTCTCTCTCTCTCTCTCTCTCCAGCTTTATCATGTTCGTTTTGAATTATATTTCGGTCATTGATATGCTATGTATATTGGTTTTATTTGCTTGAAATTGTAGATAAACGCTATGTGAAGGGCTTCGTGGATTCATGCTATGAGAGCTGCTTCAAGAATAATCATATTAATTAAGGGATTGGTAATTGTTGCCTAGCTAGCTGCATGCAGCATGAATATCTTGCGCTCCAGAAAAATAAATGACAATTACGTCTTGCATATGCAATAATTTTAATTTAAAATAATAATTAGATTGTTCCAATTAGTAAGTGGGCCCCGGTATCGGTTGGATGTCGAAAATACCACAGGATCCGTCACGGATTCCGAGGAATTCGGGGCGAGTCCTGTCATTTTATTTGTATTGTTATAGCTTGGTTTTTTCAAGCTTTATCTTTTAATTATTATTTTAAGTTTGAAATCCTAGTTGGGATGCGTACGCCAGAGTTTCTTCGATACTGCGTGCTCGTTAGTGGAGGCGCACCAGATTGTCTTTATTTTGATGTTTGGTAAAGTATTGGCTTTTCACTCGATAACTTACCGGTAAGTTGTAGTCTTTTCACTGCATCATTTACATGTCGATTAAATATCGGCTTTTCACGCAATAACTTACCGGTAAGTTATAGGCTTTTCGCTCAATCATTTACCTGACGATTAAATATTGGCTTTTCACGCCATAACTTACCGGTAAGTTATAGGCTTTTCACTCCATCACTTACATGATGGTTAAATATTGGCTTTTCACGCTATAACTTATCGGTAAGTTATTGGCTTTTTGCTCTGTAAATATTTCAAGGTCAGAATTTTAAAACTCAGGTCAGCTTCTTTTTCTCTCTCTTTCTCCTACCACGACTCTCTCTCTCTCTCTCACCGTCGCACAACAACATTTTCCGACGCTGAATCCGGCTTCGTCCGGCCACCGTTTTCGACGAAACGACTTGCAAACTTTTCCTCTCCTCCTCTACTTGACCCACCCAATTTAAAAAACCCGGGTCTCACCCAGGTGCAACCGCGAGATAAAATATATTTTTGGACTCTAATTTGGTCATTGGGATCGAATCCTATTTATTAGATTTGTTAAGTTCGGTTTTGAATTTGTCGGTAGCCTGAAGGGATGTGGTTATAATGTGTTTGTGATTGTGTCGGGGCTGAAACCTATTTTAGCAGCTCATCAAAACCACAATTGAGATCCGTTCGATAGTCAAACGACATCCAAATTGAGATCCGCGAAATCCTACGCACTCGTGGCAACCTAAGGACCTCATCAAGATAAAAAGCAACCTATCCATCCTTGCCCACGCGCCGCCACACTCGCCGTCAGCGCGTGGGTGTGTAGAGAAATTTCCGGCGACGGAAAATCTCCAAATCACAAGCCACCCTTCCTACTCTAGATACTACTCAACAAATGGAGCATCTTCTTCAACTACCACAAGGTCCAATTCGTACGGGAACTGGCCGGAATTTCAAATTGAAAACCGGCCAAAACCTAGCTTCCAAAATCAACTTCCAAACTTCAAAATCGTTCTAATCCAACCCCATAAACAGCTAAAGCAGATAAAATAGCTGAGAATCCATACCTTACTCGACTGAATTGGTGAAGAATCGAAAGAGAACGAAGATGGGAAAGTCTGTCCAAGAACCGGCCTGTTTCTTTGCACTTTCCGGTGAGTTGCGACGGTTCCCGGGGTGGAGATGGGTCGAGTAGAGACAAGGAGGAGGTTTCGGTTCGAATGGGACCCTTCTCGTCGGACGGGGTGGTCGGAAGTGGTGGTGGTGTGGTGGTTTCTGTTCGGTGAATAGTATAGCCGGGCGGCTTTACGCCGCTCTTTTATTTTAGTTTTTTTTAAGAAAGTATAGCCGGCCGGCTGTACGCGGATTTTCACCTTTTTTAAAAGGAACTAATTTTTTTTCAAAAATAGTATAGCCGAGCGGCGTCACTCGGCTAAAAAATTAGTATCGCCGAGCGGCTATACTCGGTTTTTAATTTTTTTTACAAAGAAATAGTATAGCCGCGCGGCTATATTCGGCAGAATACAAAAAGAAGATCGAATTCAGAAATGAAAGCTACCATGACAAACCCACGATTACAGTGTTCACTCGGACACTTAAAAGAGTTTCCCTTGGTGCTGAAGAAGATGATGATTTATGTCGTCCTTTCTTTTGAAGCTGGAACGGCAATCATCCACTGAAAAAATGTATGGCCACTATAAAGAATAAGCTAAATGAATTCAGGAACCAATAATCATAGTTTCAAAATACAAGTGATTTAACATTTAATTCTAACTGAACAGTTCGTGATTGAGGCTTTCTGGACAGAGCTTCTCAGGAGGTCTCCCACCTAGTACTGGTCCATTCAAGTCAAACCGTCGCGAATTTTGGAGTTCTTTGTGTGGGATCCAATGCTTCACGATATCCAAAGGATGGTAGTTAAAAATGTTGAATCCTGCAAAAAAATTATCTTGAATTGATACGAAAATTACAGTACCTTCACTCGAAAAGTAAGGAAACTTATTGACACAATCAGCTGTAATGAAGCTATCAAACTAATCGATAGCAATATCAAGCTATACAAGCTGCCGCTGGTTTCCTTAAGACAACTTCAGACATCAAAACTTATGGTATGGAATCATGTGAAGGTTTTTAACAATTTAAAGTAAATAGGAAACAATACTTCAAGGGAATGACTTTGCACGTATTGCTTGAGATATGCAGGTTTCTTAAAAGTAGCACCACATTCTTGGCAAGTATTGGAATTTCAGCTCTCTCCTTCCCCATCCCCATCAGCCACTTCGGCCATTTCCATCTCTTCCTGTAACAAAAGTAACCAAATTATAAGTAAAAATTAACATAATCAATCTGAAGACAACCCAGCTTCAGATTTTGTTTAAAATACAAAATCCAAATGAACCCACAGCAGTAAATCCCTCAAATTCGAAAACCCAATTCATAAAAATTCATAATTGGACCATAGAAAACCAGAATTAAAAAGGACTGAAACCTTGTGGTGAGTGAGGATGTGAGAAGCAATCAGGTTATAAATAAAATATAAATTATAAAATTATAATAAAATAAAAAAATTTATTTAAAAAAAAAAAAAAAAAAAAACCCGCCTAGGCCGCCTAGGCCGATTTTTCGTTTTTTCTTTTGGAACCCGCTCTCATGGGCTGCAGCAGCGGCATTCCTCAGCTCTCACAGACTCGTCGACTCTCTCGCCTTCCGTTTTACAGCAAAAGCTTTTCGCGCTTTCCCCAAGACACTTACGACGTCGTTCCCAGTTCGTTCCAACCAGCAAGCTTTTCACAAAGTTGTCACTTGTCGTACTGCATCAGTCTCAGCCTCCAATGATGCCTTCACTTGGGACGACGTCGGTAGGATATCCAAAACGGTTCAGATCTCAGGGGCTACTCGGAAAAGATCAAAATCTGCAATCGCGCTTTCCTTGGTAAGTTATGCAATACATTTTCTCAGCTGTCAAACAGAAACAGACCAATTGTTCGTTTATCTCTCCACAGTCCACTCCGCATTTTATTGAAACTGCTTGCAGGAATCGCACTCTGAGTTCCTTCCCTTTGTAATTGAGGACTATTCACAAAGGGTAAGCTCAAATTCCGTGAATTCAAATACCTGTGGACTGGTTTGAAACGAGCTTTCATCTCACTTTAAGGCATTTTAGTTTCTATTCTATCAGTATTTAGGCTGTCAGTGCTTAGTAGGAGCTTGCTTGAATAGTTTGCTTTTGGTATCTAGAGACTCCAAACCTTGATGAAATAGCATGGGCATTCCCCGACCCCAAAAGAGATGGATTTACATGACATGTTCCTAAATTAGACAGCTCTGGTGCACTTTAATGTCAATGTAATTGGTGAAACTACTTGACCCAAGAACTGGCTGGATTTTATGGTTGTAATCTGAGGCAACTAGAAGAGCAAGGGGTCCTTCCTTGCCTGATATTTAGTGGTCTACTTTAAGCATAACAAATGCAATTGGCAGGGATGTTTTGTTTTGCTATGATTTAAAACTTCTTGAGAGTTTCACGCCTAAGAATCAAGGTAAGACCCTTGGAGCTTAGCTTTTACCTAAAATAGTTGTGAACTTCGCATTCAGCTTCGTCATTTTTCACCTTTCATTTCATCATAAACCATCTACAATTTTCCCTTTATTGAACAGATGGAGAGGTGGAGAGCTTCAAGTTGATCCATGTTACGCGTGTTGCAAACATCAAACGAGATTTTTCAAGCCAAATTGCTCTCTTGTCATCATTGATTTCCTGAAACTACATTCCTCTGCCAATTTATAGGAAGGAATCTTGATCATATTAACGAACCTGATCCTTGTCCACCAAAACAGCCCGTACACCTTTGGCAGTATCATTCCGAAAAGACGATCTTAGGGCGATGCGATATTCAGTTTCCGTCACACCAGTTAACTGGATTTCGACAAGTACATAATGATTACAAATGTTATTTTTAGAACAGGGGAGCTACTAGAAAACAAAACCTATCAAAAGGAATGCAACCACATGATGAAGGAAATGAAAAGGTAGAAACTCTAGACTCACTGTGGATAGTTGATTGTCATTTTTCTCAAGTGCAGATGCAACTCTGGAGAAATACTTTTGTGTCAAGTAGAGTGAAAAGGGAGTACCCTTTCCAAGACCTTGAAGAGATTCATTTGTCCACTCCACCACTGCAACACAACAATGAATCACCAACAACAACAGAACAAAAGGCAAACCACAATAATTAACACTTGTCTCCCTATAAATTGTGGCTTTAGCTTCCACTTCCACCACCAACAACTTCGAGAATCAAGCAGAGTTTAATGATTAAAAAAACAACAAACAAACAAAAGTGAGGAGAAATGGATGCTAGTTTGTTCAGGGCTGTGGTTTTGATGAGCATGCTTGTGCTTGCAATAGCTCAAGCTGATATTAATCCCTTCCAAATGGAAACACTTTTGGTCAAATTGATGATGTCTCTAATCCTTCCAATACAAACCAACTTCACCAGGCACATAATTGTCCCAACAAAAAGACTTAATCAAAAGGGACTCTATGCAATTGATCTTCAAAGAAAAAGGCTCCATTACAGTCAAGATCAACTAAATCAAAGCATACCTGCAATTGATCAAGAAAATAGACAATAATTCTGTCATTTCCGTACAATGAGAAACAATATATATTATGATACTACCAAACCGCCTAAATTACATCCACCAGTTAACAATAATTTGACGCTCACCAGATAAATATTTCGGACTTATTCAAATGAAATCAAAAGAGAGACCTTCAATTATGCTCAAAATGATAGTCCTGCAAGTATGTTATGCTCAAAATGATATAGTCCTGCATGTATCGCTTCAATATATGCTGCATTACAGCTCATGTAATTAGCTACAATCATGCTTAGAACCATAGATGGCCACAGGGTCTCCTTATAAATTGTATAGCTTCCACTTCTTCCACCAACAAACTTCGGCAATCAAACAGAGTTCAATAAAATAAAATAAAAGTTGAAACAAAGAAAGAGGAGGTATGGATGCTAGTATCTTGAGGGCTGTGGTTTTGATGAGCATGCTTGTGCTTGCAATAGCTCAAGCTGATATTAATCCTTCCTATACCAATACGGTTTCAAATGGCAACACTCTTGGTCAAGTTGATGATGTCTCTGATCCTTCCAATACAAATCATGTGGTTCCAAATGGTCATCTTATTTCTTGTGGTTTAAAATGTGCGACAAAGTGCCTGATGAACCCAATATGCCTTGGCATGTGCATGATCAGATGCAAACATAGGCCTTCAGATGTTGTATATAATTGTACACATAACTGTGACAACTCTATTGCCACCACAAGCACTTCCAATTTTGGTAATGTGAATATTTCCATATGGGATTATTGATCTGCCTCTCTCTCTCTCTCTCTCTCTAGCTTTATCATGTTCATTTTGAATTATATTTCGGTCATTGATATGCTATGTATATTGGTTTTATTTGCTTGAAATTGTAGATAAACGCTATGTGAAGGGCTTCTTCACTCCTACCGTCATCACCAACATCATCAATAATAGTAATAGAGAGAGAATACACTCTCCAAGGAGCAACACCTAAAATAAGTATGCTATTCAATTTACTACTAAACTGGTATGACATCATTCTTTCATGCATCATCACATCTCAAAACAATACCCTCAAGGCTAGCTCGAAATTTATAAAAGTGGAAATTCACGTCTGCCTAACCCATTGATGGATGGAATTAAGCTCCAGTAACAGGACCATTGTTTTCCTAATAGGTACAGAATTTACTCATATGCCGAATAACATACACCCAAATATATGAAATCTTCCCTTTGCTTTTCTTTTCACCACATTTTCAAGTGGAACCGGAAAACATCCTAAATTTTTTTAAACCACGCTGCCTTCTCTCCTCTGAGCCGTCGCCTCCTCTCTCTCTCTCTCTGACCTCCTCGCCCACCAGCGACCCGCAACCCCTTCGCCCACCTGCTTTTTATACGCAATATCGCATCCCCAATTGCATCCCTTTTATTATTATTATTATTATTATTATTATTATTATTTCTTTCTGAGCAAGCCACTGTTTCTATGTTAGACGTGTGAAATCAAACTTCCAATGATTACTGCATCAATATAGATCGTAGTTTTTTAGTACATTAATATATTCATTTTTCATTTAAGTCATATTCTGTTAATAAATTTTATCTTTTTGAACCAGAGCAATATCATTAACTCCAAAACTAAAAACAATATAAGAGAAAACAAATGGCACATATACTCCAAAAGAAACATATTATACAAAGATCAAGGCAGTTGCTAATGCATACATTACACAAAGGAGAGCCCAAGGAAAAAGAAATCGTCTTGTAGCATATCTCATTCTGCAATTCAATACTGGCTGTAAGGTATGCACTGTCATGTTTCCTTCTTAGCCTTCATAGAACATAATCTACATAGAACCCAATTTAGGCAAGCTCATGAAAACTCTATTCAAAGCTTGATTTTTCATTACAGTAGAACAACTTACAATAACCTTCAGTATGGTTCACTAGCCATAGGCTTGACAATACAAGGAAAATCCAAACTATGGCCACACAAATATGAAGAAACGATAAAACTGGCTATATATAACTTAGAGAGAGAGAGAGAGAGAGAGAGAGAGAGATAGATAGATGTGGATAAAGAGAGAGATACCTCTGTAATGCTCAACCACTCCAAAACAAAACTCACAAAAACCACAACCAAAGGGAACCCTAAGGCTAAACATTGACATTTGATACCTCTGTAATGTGTCTATGAAATTGAGCAAAATGAAAACTTGAGCAGACAATAACTTCTTCTGTAACAATTCCTACTAGTTTCAACAAAGGTTTAAGAAAAAACTTGTGTACAAAATACATGATATTTACTGTCACATACTGAACAAGCTCTTATCAAAACTTGTCAAGTTAAGTGAAAAGATCAGTCACAATAAAATGAGTTAATTTTGACTGCAGAGCTCATACTAATGGCAAGCTGATGTGCAAAAGACTACATACATGAATAGCATCACTGAGCAAATATCATTCAGACTTCTGAGTGTGAATAAAACAAACAAACAAAAACAACTGGAAAAACAGAAACCAAAGAATTCTATAACCATAATAGGAAACACAGTGGACCCATAATGTCAAAATCTAAAAGCATTTAATCACTTTATATGAAAAAATAATCAATCAGTGACTATCATCTGAATAAGAAGAAAGTGAAGCCATTAAGGTTTTCATTTTCCTCTTTTGGGTAACAATTTTCGCACACGGATCACGCATAATTGATAAAAGTGACCTGAGTTTCTTCAAGTTCGTTCTTAGAAAGCTGCATGTCTCCAGTAAGTTCTCTCACAGTCATATTCAATAGAGATACGCGATGACTAAAGTTTATGTAACTTCTGCAGCTAATGCCTGAAAAATAAATGATAATAAGTAACAAGCCACTATTTCAATGCCTCCTTCCCCCACCCCCCTCCACTCAGAAAATAAAAATAGGAAAAGAGTTATATAGGGTGGATACCTTCATTGGCGCAAAATAAACTATCTAAAATTCATCTTTATGCAAGTAACCCGCCTTTGAAGTGCTGTCCAATCTGCCACAGAAAATGCCGACTCACTATCTAAATCTCAGAATGGATGATATACTGAATATTTTCAAAAACTAAATAGTGCAGCCAAAAGCCTAGTTTCCTTGCTTTATTTTGCAAGCTGATATCTTTAACACACTAAACCACAGCTATGTTGGTTTTGCCAGCTCCTGTTGGAGCACGAACATGCAAGTATCATATCAGCACTTTCACTGCAATGGTTTGGTATTCACATAATCAACAGAATCAATAACTTACTAGTATATTTTCATTAGTGTAATAAACAGTACGAAATATGCGGCTCTGAATAGAGGTCAGTAGGTGATAAAAGAAATAGCAAGCAAGGACAATCCTATTTGTTTAACCACCAGAAAACGTGCAAATTATTATGGCCAGTATAATTTGCACGTTTTCTGGTGGTTAAACAAATAGGATTGTCCTTGCTTGCTATTTCTTTATCACCTACTGACCTCTATTCAGAGCCGCATATTTCGTACTGTTTATTACACTAATGAAAATATACTAGTAAGTTATTGATTCTGTTGATTATGTGAATACCAAACCATTGCAGTGAAAGTGCTGATATGATACTTGCATGTTCGTGCTCCAACAGGAGCTGGCAAAACCAACATAGCTGTGGTTTAGTGTGTTAAAGATATCAGCTTGCAAAATAAAGCAAGGAAACTAGGCTTTTGGCTGCACTATTAGTTTTTGAAAATATTCAGTATATCATCCATTCTGAGATTTAGATAGTGAGTCGGCATTTTCTGTGGCAGATTGGACAGCACTTCAAAGGCGGGTTACTTGCATAAAGGTGAATTTTAGATAGTTTATTTTGCGCCAATGAAGGTATCCACCCTATATAACTCTTTTCCTATTTTTATTTTCTGAGTGGAGGGGGGGTGGGGGAAGGAGGCATTGAAATAGTGGCTTGTTACTTATTATCATTTATTTTTCAGGCATTAGCTGCAGAAGTTACATAAACCCGCCCAGGCCGCCTAGATCCGCCCAGGCCGCCTAGGCCCCCCCTAACTTTCTGGTGTCGGTGTCCTCCAGCCTAGCGCCTAGGCCGATATCTCAAACACTGCTCAAAACCTGGAACGGGCTTGCTCTGTGCCCTAGATGTTCGTAGTGATGAGTTCGAGTCCGATTCGCCTGAATATTTTTAAAAACCGAGTATAGCCGACCGGCTATACTATTTTTTAAAAAAATTAAGAAAATGCCGAGTAAAGCCGATCGGCTGTACTACTTTTAAAATAAAATTAGGAAAAAACCTAGTATAGCCACGTGGAAGTACTATTTTTAAAATAAATTTGGGGAGAACGCGTATAGCCGCGCGGCTATACTATTTTCCAAAAAATATGAACCACCATTCTAACCTTTCTAAGAGAATGGATTCATCTTCATTGGAATCTTTGGATCTTTGGATCTACCATATGAACCACCTTTGGCTACGATTTTTTCTCTTATTGTTCCTTCTTTTTGTGTACAATTTGAATTTTATAACTATTGTGCATGAATTATAATAATTTGAGAAAATTTTGATAAATCACATCAACATGTCATGTGGATATGTACACAAGCAATAAAATAATAGGCAACTTAACTCAGGACTAAATCAACACCGCATTAAAAGAGAGAAACTATTGCAAAATTACAAGGGATGAATCTCGAAAACAGCAGGAAACATATAAGACCCGGGTCATCAGTAAAGCACTAGGAAGGATACATAAGCATTGGAGGGCACCGGATTACCAAGTGAGTAGAACCCCAAAAAAGCTATCAACAAGATATGAAGCACACCAGGGTGCATTGATTTCCATATCATGCCAAATACAACCAAACTGGATGGAAGAGAAATCAATATGCACTTGCAAAACACGAGACCACAAATTTGAAAAATAAATTTGAACTTAGTATTTTTAAGTCAATAAATTTTTATTTTAAATTTATTTTTTAGTAATTAAATAACATCTTAGCCTTATTTAATTATTTTCATTAATAGATTCTTTTGATTCTTTAGATGATAATTCCCGTATCTAAGTCCTTTTCAGGCACTCAGACCATAGTTTTCCTTAAGTGTACGATTCTTTTCTAGTTCAGACAAAGATCATATATCCAATCCTGCAACCTATCCTGGTTAAGGCATAAATTTAACAAGTTGAATTCATTACGTTCTAGAAAACGAGAGAACCAAGCAAACCATTATTCTTCGTCAAGCAATAATGTAATTCACCACACTTAATCACAAGAAGCTGATTGAATTATATTGCGAGTTCTACCTCAAATTCCTCTTCCAATTTACTAGATGCAAAGCCCTAAGGTGATCAATCAAAGAACTTAAACAAATATCAACAATTAAAATAGTGATTAAACATTCATCTAAAAGAAACTTAGAATCCATTAAATAACATTAAAAATCATAACTATCCATGACAGGACCCGCCCCGAATTTCCCGAAACCCGACACGAACCCTGCGGAGACCCCGGCATCACACCCATGCCGGGTTTACTCCTTAAAACTATGTCCTCTTTTGCCAAAGAGGATTTAGGGCACGAGACTTTCTGCCAAAATTTCGGCAGTCTCTCCTGTAAATTGAACATTCCCCAAAATTTCCACCTGCATAAAACACATTTTATAACCCAACCAGCAGCACGCACAATATAATCTCATGCAATTTACATGAATGGTCTCCGGCCTTCAAATGGTTCTAGCAGAACTACTCACACTGCTTTTAAAATAACTCCATGCATCAAACATGCACATATCCAATTCAAAATCTATCTATGCACACCTTCGCTCACTCAATCCACCGGACAAGCCTCAATTTAACCAAGTGTCGGGACCAACAACGAGGTCCGAATCATACTCAATAAAACCACCTAAGTGGTGTCTAGGTCGTGGCTGCACCTAGGCGCTATCCCAGGCTGCCTACGTACCCTACTAAGGGATCAAGCCACACGTAGCTCTTTCCTATCA